AAATTATGATTTAATAATTCTCTAACTATGTGGGAATTATGTGGAGGCGCACCATCANATTTTCAGAAAATCAATACCAAAAGATCTAGTTTTTGATCTTACTAAAGTTTAAAAGTAATCTTTAAACATCTCTTGACAAAATACCGAGGAGTTATTTGGTGTAATTACATTGCATAATATACATTTTGACTTGCGCGCCGACCCCGTCAGCGCCTCACATCTAAAATACCTAAAATACTTTTTCCGGAGCAAAACAAGTTATTTTTGCAATTTGTTTAAAAAAAATAGTATAAAAAAATTGTGACCAGGTTACCGGCCGGTAATCACCTCCGTGAGATGTCATTATGCGAAAAAATCGAATCCACTAATTTTTTCATACGAAGCCGCCGATTTCGCCTTGTCTATACATATAGGCTATTGAATATATCCAAAAAACAGGGTTAAAAGGAACTATGACATTCAAGCAATTTTATTGCATGAATCGTTCAAAGGGTCATTTTAGATGAAAAAACCGCGGAGTGCTATTAAATTAGAGGGTGGAAATTGGAGATAGGGGTCAAAATGCACCCCTTTCAGTTTTTTAATTGTAGCTCGAAAACGAAGCAAAATTTCGCTATAGTTCATAGGAATAATTATTTAGAGAATTGAATTTCCCATGGAAATAGGGTATTTAAAAAATTTAAATGGAAAATTTTAGGCAAAAAAATCGTTAATAAACAATTTGAAAAAAAAGCAAAAACTGATTTTTTTTTTACTTTTTTGCCTCTAGTTTTTCTTTGAGTAAAGATAGGTATAGGCATTGCTTCATAGAAAAAAAAGTAGATCAAATTTCCTTCAAAACAAGAGGGTGTAAAGTATTTTTAGATGAAAATTGACTGATGTATGGCCGCTCAAACTTAGCCAATTTTTCGATTTTCGTCGCGTTTACCCTTATACGTTATAATTCTCATTTTTTGCAAAAAGGATGGAAATAAGACGTTCAAGGATTTTCATCACATGACTTGTTCGAAGGGTCACTATTAAATTAGAGGGTTGAAATTGAGATAGGGGTGAAAATGCACTTTTGCAGTTTTTTAAATATAACACGAAAACGAAGCAAAATTTCGGCATAGTTCATAGGAAATATTTTGTAGAGAATTTAATTTCTCATCGAAATGGCTTATTTAAAAAATGTAAAAGGAAAATTTTATGCAAAAAATCGTTAATAAATAATTTTAAAGAAAGCAAAAAATAAGATTTTTTGATTTTGTTTACTTTTTTAATAAAATAATTTAGTAAAAACTTGAGAATTTAAGTACAATAAAGTTTATTAATAATGTATATACAATACAGTGTGTCCACGGATGGAGTTGGCAAGAGGAGAAACTCTTTTGTTTTTGACTTTATCGAAAAATGTCACTCTTTATAAAAAGTTCTGCCCTTCGAGAAAATGAGACTGTCATACAAACATCTTAGATTAGATATACAGGGTGCTCATAAATTAAACCATATGACAGAACATATTTTTAAATTATTTTAAGGTTAATTTAGTTATTATGTTTAACAGAATAGGGGAAGGTGCCCATATGTGTTTCTTTTCTATATTTTCTTCATATTTTTTACTTATATGGAAATTTGTCATATACTTTTTCTCTTTAATATATTTTCACTGATCCACATTTACAACACAGTTATAGAGTAGCGCTGTAACTCGAGGTACCACTTTTAAATATTTATGGTTGCTCCACGCCGTTCCTTTAGGTGTAAATAACAACTGCTCGGCGGAGCTTGGAGGCATTTTTTTAATTGCTTAATTAACACAGGTAGCCGGGGCGACAAAACTCCAGGCAGGGCTAATATAAAGAAGACGATATCTAAGAAAATTATGTGTACACCGTAAAGTTGAAATTACCTGAACGGCTGCCGTAATTAAAGGGGCCCCGGATTAATTAATGGCAATCTGTCATTCTCCGGTTATTCATTCAAATATTGTGATTACAAAAAAGCAGCCGGATGAGAGACGGCTGCACTTTGCTTGTTTAATTTTCCGCAAGAAAACTAAGTCATAAAGTCTGTGGCAGTCTGACTGGAACCTTCCTATTTAAATATACGTTTCCATTTAACAATGGGAGTTGACGTCTACCCAGGAGAGGGCAATAAAGCGGTTTCAAAGACGTAAGTTTAATTCACCTTCGCAGAGAGCGATGCACTGATAAAAATCGTGGAAACTCAATTAGGATATTTACTTATTTGTTATGGTTTCTACAAGGTGTTTGTAAATAAGTGCGAAATATTTTAGGGGGTGGTTACCGAAGTTATTTTGTGAATAAAAACGTAGGTCGAAATATGCTTCGATTCCGAAATACAGAGTGTTTAAATTTTAATATTTTAATAATTATTTCAGAGTAGATATTGACTGAGATATTGACTCGAAATTTGATGGTTGCATTTTATTTAGAAATATTGACAGCAACCTACTAAATAATATATTAATAGAAATTAAAAATACACAACACGCAATAAAATGTCTTATTTTCAAAATTAAAGAGACTAATTTCATTTAGAATTGATGGAGAATTTCAAAAAAAATATCAAACCGGGAAAAAAGTCAGTGGCGTACCATTTTTTTTAATTAAAAATGGTTCTGCCATTCTCGCACGAACGCTACTGGTGCAGGTAGAAATATTCGTATCACCCCAAAAAGTGCACATTTATCCCTCCAAAGCGTTTTTCAAATCTCTCTGAAATAATTAATAAAAATAAATAAAAAATTAAAACTTAAATACTCTGTGTCTCGGAAACGAAGCATATTTCGACCTACGTTTATATGAACTTTTTTCACAAAATAATTTCGGCAACCACCCCCTAAAATATTTTGCACTTATTTACAAACACCCTGTATATGTGTATCACAAATGTAAATAAATTGAAAATACAATACATTGTGTGTATATTTTCTTTTTGCTTTTTTTATTCTTACCTTTTAAAATGTATTATTCTTAATCATGTATGTGTCTTTACTATGCTGGATGTAAATATACTAATAAAAGTGTGCCTTTATTTGACCTGATTTGTCTCAACCAATCAGATTAATCATGTGATCAGCCTTTGTGGTGTTACCACGCATGTGTAGAGAACTGCGCTGGTTGTTCAGTAGGCATGTTTAGATTCATTTGTGGCGTAATAATATAGCAAATATAATAATACAAATAAATACTGAGGTAAGTAAATATACGATTTCGTGTAAATTATATAAATTCCTCATCATATCTTCATTTAAATTTATTGAAGAGTATGAAAAATCGTCAACGATAACCATATTCAACTTTGCACAGAGATATCCAGATTGTAGCTTGCTGTTGAAGACCTTTATTTTACTTATTGTTTTACTTACACTATATTTTTTTATTAGTTTAATGTTCCCAAGAAGAGGTCATTGCTCTCGAAATCGTTAAAAAATTAAACCTTAGCAAAACGTTTTCTCAGAAAATACATGAAGAATGTTTTTCCTTATACTTATATGTTTAATGGTTAATTTAAAAGTATGAGCTCATTTTAAATATAAACACGGAAAGAAAAAGACCCAACTAAAAAAAGTTGTGTAAAATTAAATATATACTTTGTGCTTTAAATAAGTAAGGAGATTTTTTTTTATAGAGATTGATTATTCGTGCTTTTTTATTTTTTTTTATTTAAACTTGATATACCAAGTTTTTCATTGTACTATTATTTTAAAGCTGTTTAATTAATAATATATTGGTTCAAATAATTTTTTGTATTATTTATCTATAAGTATAATTTAGAAATTTATATTTTAGTCTCGAGAATATGTGTTATTTACTGAATTAATAAATCCTCTTAAATTTATTTAATATTATTATTCCGTCATTTAAGTACATAATATTACAAAATAGTAATATCTAGATTTTTTTCTTCTTAAAAATGCTATGTAGTTTTCCTGTTCCTTAGTAAAATTTAACTCAATTTCTGAATATTGCCTTTGTCTTGTCATGTGCGACAAGCCTTAAATACTGAAAATTTTATTAGTTTGGAAGCTTTACAAGTATTGTTAAAAGGTCTGATCAACTATTATACAGGGTAGGAAAGTACCGATGGTCTATCAGAAGTTACGTGAGAGCCATAAAGTAAGCCATAGAAATCCATGCGAGAGAGAAGGATGGCTATAATGAAGGCCTCTCATAGTCACCGCCCATTTCGCCCTTCCACAAATAAGATCCACTTCTTATTTGTGGAAGGGCGAAATGGGCGTTGACTATTAGACGCCTTCATTATAGCCATCCTTGTCTATCACATGGATTTCTATGGCTTACTTTATCACTCTCACGTAACTTCTGATAGACCATCGGTACTTTCCTACACTGTATATACGGTATTGTATGGTAGTATGGGCGTACTTATAAAATATAAGAATATAAAAACTAATAAATGAATATAAAAATAATAATTTAGACGATTGATTTTATCTACGTATGATGTGTTGTTTAAATTGTTTATACGAGTATATATTTGACCAGAACTCTTTATTAACTTCTCGGGTATATGCACAAAGTTCAAGGCACATAATGATAGTGTGTATAATACGTCCTAATACCAGATCACTAGGTATCAATATTCAGGACGCCCTGTATAAAATATTTTAGGTGTTACACTATTTTAGTATGAAACAAACTTCTTCATACAGTTTTATGAAAGACTTGTTATGAATGCAGTAGAAAATTGTTAATATTTTTATTTTTAAGATCATAACTTGGGGAAGAGGTATGTAAAGTCAAAATACACTTGTGGTTGCATGAAGGACGCTTTAGTTCCAACAAAAAAACATCCTTTATAAACGTCATTAATTTTAAAATGTACTATTTTCGGTACCATTAAAAAAAATGAGAGAAAAAGTGGCTATTAGATGGACACCCTGTTTAGTACATTTACATACTTAAATTCGTTTCAGAACTTAACAGTTTTGGATAAAATGGCAAGAGAAAAGTATTTGTGATCAGTCTTACCCCCTCGAACTTCACAGGTAAGGATAAGATCCGAACTTTCCACTAAAGGTCCAACAATGCCAGTAACATCCCTCCCTGAATTGTCGTATAGCAGAAGCTGATGTGGGGGAACTGCAAAAATATCCAGATATTAATAAATCTTGTAGTTTTGTACCATACATGTTTACAATAATTGTTACGTATCATTAAATATAAGTCCTTAAATGATTGAAATCGTACTTAAATTAAAAAATCACATCTTGTTTATTAAAAAAATCCATTACGATCCTCATGATTTTACCGGGTATGTCTAAAATATAGTGCCAAACTGAAGGATACATATTGATTTCGGAATAATTATGTTTGTCTAGACGTATTAAAATAATAATTTATTACTTTTCACTAAAATGTAAAGTGCCAAACATTCTTTAATTTTTTCTTATTGCTGGCCATTCATATATTAACACGAACAAGGTATTTTTTTATTGCGTTTGAGATCAAGATTTATTTCGTAAATAGGTAAAAATACTGTGTTTCTCCGATATTTGGCAATATGATAAAGTCCTGGCGTGCCACGGGGCTATAAAATTTGTTTGTATTTCAGCAGGTAGGCATTACCATTGTGTCGATTTTAGTCTACTATATATACTTGTGAACGCTTAACACAACATTAACTTTATAGACGTATTGAATTATAAAACATATTGAAAGGTTACAATTTTCTCGTTAATATGAAACAAATTTATTTTTTTGTAGCTTGTTCAAGAAAAGCAAGAACCTACAGGGTGTTTTTAAGTCCTTGTTGTAACTTACCCTTGAAGAGGATTGATTCAGGTTTTTAAAACCCATCTTTCGTTCGCTGTATCATTAGTTCATGAGATATCTATGACAAAAAAAAGGTGACTTTTCACTCAATAGCTGATATCTCAATGAGAAATAATTGTACAGAATATAATAAAAACCTAATTGAAGCTGAGGAATCAAGCTAAATGGCATTGATTAAGCCAGAAAAAAATTTTCTGGGCAGTTTAAAAAAAAATTGTACAATTTTTGCCTTGCATTATTTCTTGTGATTGCACTGAGTGATGCTCAAAAAAAATTTATCTCAAGATTTCAGAATAAGAATCTTCAAACTTCAATATGCTATTTTTTTTTCTCGATACAGCCTTTAAAAAATCACTCAAAAAAAAATTGGAAATTTATCTGCTCCCTATAAAATTCGCAGAACTCTGAAATTTTCAATGGCGTTGCTTTCCGGTATCTTCACCACTGTAGTTAAACTAAGAGCTCAAGTTTCATCAAAGTGCGTAAATATATTTAAAACTCATTCAGACAAAAATAATCTAAGGAACATAACATTAATTTAAAATATACTCTGAAATTTTCAAGCCCTTCTGTGAAAATTTTGTCATGTTATATGTTACGGATAAGTGTCTACAATTTCATGTTAAACTTGGTCTTTTACTCAGATATTCAGAAACGGACTAGCCCCAACACATATATTTTTCAAAATTTTGACAGATGTTTTACTCTCAAAACAATATAATTTTTTTATGTTCTCAACATTTTTCTTTAAAAAGGTAGATACCCCTAATCTATAGCGATAAAATGAGTAGTTTTCGAGGAAATCTATTTTTGAAGCAATAGTAAAAACCGTTGTAGGTATAAGAGCAGCAACAACTTGAGTTTAATTTTCTTCAAATTGTTTCATGCACTTGGTTTATTTAACTTAGTTTAAACACTTTTGAAATAGACAAAGAAATACCATTTTTTAAAATTTTTTTAACTGTCAAGTAAGTTATGCATGTTTTTATGTGAGGTAGACATAAATTTAACTGGCAAATCAATTTATCAAAAGGTGAAAAAAAAACGGGTCTAAAAATATAAGTTTTGTGAAATGAGCTACATAGACCACCATACACTACCTAATTTCTAGTAGCAAACGCTTTTGGTAATCATAGATACATCGTGGCCGACCAGTCTTATAGACACCTAGGTCGCCTGATCTAAACCCATTACACTTTTTTCTGGGGAGTAAAGGAACTAATTTATTCAATATCAGTAAATACTTGAAAATAGCATTTGATTGGAATATTGTTTCAAGTACATCGGGAAAATTTTCCTAAAATAAAAAATTTTGCAGGAAGCTTATTTTGAGTTTTCAAAGTGGTATTTGCCTTTTTCTCATTATACATTATTCTGTAAATGTTTATTTGTAATTTACAACATGTTCCTCTTAAGCTATAACCAACCCAATCTTTTTGGACCTACCAATGTTAAACAAAGTAAATACATGAAACAACTTTTAAAAATATAAATTCTAGTTGTTACTGCCCGCTCCAAAAACTGTTTATTTATGGAAATAAATGAATAGAACCTATTTTAAATAAAAATTTTCAGAGTACCTAACTAAAAATAACATTGTTAGTTCGATAGTTCATCAATTAAAATATGTAGTATTGTTATTTTGAGGCTCTCTGTGCGATTTCGAGATAATAAAAGATAATTTTCGGATGTTCAGTTTATCGGTATATGAATGGAAGGCTTGCAGCGCACTTCAGCATAATCTACCTTACTAATTTACATCCAATTAACAATTGTTCATTTAGATTCAAAATGGTATTTACGAAACTTACATTTAAATAAATTAGATATAATATTTATTTTATTAAATTTCTTAATTTTATAACATAAATGCTCTTAAGTGAAAACATTTATTTTTGTAAACGTAAATCTTTATTTTTAATCACTATTTGTTTATAATCAGATGACTCTGACGGCATCCAAGACCTGTTTAAGTTAGAAAATGGCTGCGGTTTTTGTATTATTCTGGACAAACCCTCTAAAATATGACAGAAAACCACATATAATTGGTTCTGACTTTTTTTAGGGCTTAAATTAAAGATGTGAACGAAATAAAAATATCATATGACATCAATGGACTGTGATTAGCACGGATATAGCTTTGTGCCGCTGCGATTTGAAGCAAATAAACATTGATGCAGCAATAAAACCAGACACTGACATTCGCCACTCACTTCTGATGAAGATAATGCATCGATTCGCATCCATTTACAAAATTTGCATTCCGGACTCTGCCGGTGTAGATACGAAGGATCCCACAAGCGCTTTATTTAATAGAGTCAAATTATAAACATAGAGAAGCACTACGGTCACCATTTTCATTAAAATCGCAGTTGCACAGCCGCACGGTTGGCAGAGATGTTCAATATCGAGTCGTTAAATTAAATTAGCTAATCGAGTGGTTAATAAGTGCAGCGCGATAGAACTGTTTGTTCTCTACAAGGGCCATTTACACGTCAATTAATATCCCATTGCAAATGCAAGTGCGGAAGGATAATAACGTGAAATACTTTTCCGTGTATGGTTAATTAAATATACAAATTGTAGGTAAACAGTGGAGAATAGGTTCGTTTCCATTGTTTATACTTTTTAATCCGTTTTTCATTTGAAAAATTAAATAATTCTTGTTTACTTTACTCAATGGAAACGCTTCAATTTTGTAAACTAATGAAATAGGTTTGTTTTATTTATACAGGGTATCCGGAAATACCGTTCGAATAATTCTAGGGGTGATTCTACATGTTAAAATATGAAGAAAAGTTCATATGAACATAGGTCCGCAAATGCGTCATAAGGTTTCTATGGCGATTCAAAGATTGCACCGGGATATAGGTTTTATTTTATATCTCTGGAACCGTTTCAGATAGCCATCTGAATTTTGGCATATGAATTGCCTTTAATGCCTTTGCAGTGTTTTTACTAAATTATTATTTTAATCAGGGGCGTACCGACAGGGGAGGCCTCGATTTAATTAGTTCACATTTTTATTAAACGTCATATTTTTGCAGTTTTCTTTAGAAATTCTGATTCCGCGGTATAAATGACATAAAAAAGGTATTCTTGTAGAAAACCTGTCAGGTAATGTTTAATAGTGATAAAAAAGGAACGGTAAATGGAAAACAGATTTATAATTAAAAAAAAAAACAGGAACAATACAGAAACAAATAATACTAGTGACTTATTATTAAACCTGAATGTTACTGCTTTAGTTACAGCAAGTGTTGGAAATGATGTCCATTCATTTCAATGCAACTGGCTAAACGATTTCTCATTGAACGTAGATACGGCGAATGGGGAGGTCAAGCTACGGGTCCACCTCATCCAATCCACCGATTTGGATAAGTCTGATTTAGATATTGTCGAACTAATAAACTGAAGTGGGCTGGAGCCCCATCGTGCATAAAAAATGTTTCTAATCTTAATCCATAAGGCAAATCTTCGAGCAAAACTGGTATAGTGTTTTGTAGAAAATGTAAGTATGCGGGCCCATCTAAACGATGCGGCATAACATACAGTCCTAGTAACCTATTTCCTATAATACCTGCCCAAACATTAATGGAAAACTTATCTTGGAATTGAGCTTCGAAAATCGCGTGAGGATTTTCATCTGACCAAATATGATTGTTATGAAAATTTACCACTCCTTCACGCGTAAATCCTGCCTCGTCTGTAAACAAGACTTTATCGAGGAAATGACGGTGCTGATGGCATTTCATCTGCATCCACTGACAAAACTCCACTATAGGCAAATCCCGAGGTTTTAGCGCTTGAATTCTTTGCAAATAGTATGTATACAAAAGTTCCTCGTGTAAAATTTCCCATACAACACTTTTGGGAATATTCGTTTGTACTGAAATTCTTCTGGTGCTACTACCTGGATTAGCTTCAATCTGTTGTAGAACAATTTCCTCTGTCTGCGCCGTTCGGGTAGTACGGTTTCGTCCACAATCTCTCTTATTTGGCGTAAAATTACCAGTTTCTCTGAATCTTTGATGTAAACTGCTGAACAGTTTATCAGAAGGAAGCTGGCGATTTGGAAAAGTTTTTTGGTACAACCTCCGAGCTTCCAAAGCACAACCGTTTGCTTTGCCATACATGCATGTCGGCCATTTCAGCAAAAGAGTATTCCGGCATTTTTTGAAAGACGCGAACAATGATTTTTTTTTCAATTACACTGTTATTAACACAATAATAATCGAATAAACTTTATTTTTTAAACCTTATGTCAAATTCGTTTACCGTAACTACAGTAATTTGACCTTTTCCCA